TAGGCAGCAGTCAGTACTCGTTTGATCTCTTTAACATGGAGGACTCTGACTTCAAGATGTCGTCCGACTTATCTCCAATGACCTGGGATAAGGTAGACTTTGCGACCTAGCCCGAGATACTCTCTTACAATCCGGCGTTATGTACTTAATTCTCGGCAGGTAATCAAAAGTATAATTCGAGATAGACAAAGAAAAGCGAACAGTGATTGTGTTGCTTGAGGTCTGTCCGATGCATTTTATATAAGCTATTTCGTGACATCCTTGTCTCTGATGCATCTTGTAACCGACGTTACGAATGTGTACTTATACGCGCGCGTCACGAGAAGTGTTGATTTCGAAGGTATACCTACTTTAAAAAATAGGTACATAATCGCGCGGATCGTTATCGTAATTAACAATTAAGAACGAGAGAAGGCTGTCGAATTATGGACCAGTGTTTGACATACGTGTCATCTTTCGGTCTTCTTCGATCAATGAGCGCTAACGCATGTCATTCTTTTGATTGATGGTCTCTATCAGAAAAATATTTACATATATAACACTTATATGTACATAAAATGTTTTTCTTCTTGGAATTAAAATCTGAAATAGCGATATGTGTGCGTGCATGCCGCTCGTATATAAAAAAGAAAAGGACCTAAATCAACTTTCAAAATTCTCCCAAAGAGTCAGCTTACGACAGGTTTTTTAAGCTAGTTTTTACTATCCAGTCGTGTGTTGCTTGGGTTTTAATAACTGCGAGAAATAGCGTGTGTGTCAAATCAAGGAGACGAGAAAACATTTGCATATATGATCCCCTCGGATAATCCTGTTTCCAAATGCCTGCCCCTCTCCCGCAACCGTAATTAATCGTAACATAACTTTGCATAATTAAACACTTACAGAATCTAATATAACAATAATTATTGTAAAGATATACATACATACGCATATATACATACGTATACACATATGTAAAATATACTTCTACGTGCGCCTGACGTCTACGAATCGTGTAACGTTTGAATACGCGAGTTCGGGGGCCTTCCAGCGCAGCTATACATATTTTCTAAGCCACAGAGCATGTGATGTTAGGAATTATTGCGTATTTTAATCGATAATCATAATAATAGCGATGAAATCGTAGGAATGGCTGCGCGCGCGAGCGAGCTACACAATCGTCACCGGGATCGGTTGCCACGGCGCGGTCCTTCGATCTTTCCACCGCGACTAGTAATCTTTTTGTTGTTTTGTGACATTCCATGTTTCCAAACTGTATGAACAAGAGAGATCGAAGCCACGCGTGTCGCGAGCCGCAACCATTACGCACATCGCACGACGGGCGATCGCTACGTAATCGAAGGATTTCGTCTCGGAACATTGTGTCGACAAACGAGAGTTGTTTTGTGTGTTAAAAAAATAAACGTCGTTCTGTCCTGTTCTGAGACGTTCCTCGGAGACCAAGCGGCTTCGGACTTTGACATAACGACGAGGGACCGCGCTGCCGAATTCGGTAACGAGAACTTGTGTGTATTTGTGTGAGTGTGTATGTGTGTGTGTATGTGTATTTGAGTGTGTACATGTATATGTGGGAGATATATCTTAAGTTCGGATCTACAATAGGTGTTTTAAACCTTAAGCCATAAGAAATTGACCAATTACAGTCAAATTCGAGGAAAATAATCAACTATGATTCATCCATTTCTTATGGCTTAAGGCTTATAACTCTATTGTAGATCCGGGGTAAAGAGCGTGATTGCTTGCCTGATGAAATGCAAGGGAATCTTTAATTGTGACAAAACAAATGATGAATCGTATTTTTGGATGAAAGTTACCCAAAAATATTTGTACTTTGAGTAGATGTATGAAAGATATCTGAATATTATATTTACTTCTATTAATTTTTCATATACTTGACTTTTTATCTAAATTACTTTTTATACAGAATATCCCGAAATTCGAGGATAATATTATTGCAGCTTGAAACTTCGTGTCTATGTCTCTATAAGATAATACGTAATGACTACGTGAAAATCACAATTTGAGATTCCCTTAAGTGAGTACATGTGATACATGTTAATGTTTATGGACAGCAATGGTGCTAATCGAAACCCCAATACGCAGCGATCGAATGATTTTTCTAAAAAAGAAATAATAAAATAAAATGTCGCGGTTATTTTGATTCTTTTTTTTAAAGAGAAGCACTTATAATGATGCCGCAACGTTCCGAATTTTCCTCGCAACCAACGTGCCTCGAAGTGTTGTTTTTCCTTGCGAGCTTTTTAGTTCCACGCGGAACTGGCGTTACATAGTGCGAATAAAGAAAGAGAGAGAGAGAATGTCGTATTTAAGTTGTTAGTTTTTTTTTAATGTTAGTGAGAAAATTAGTGAGGTGTGTTCCCACAGTCTCATTAGCGAAACACGGTACATTGATCCGCGATCGTCATTTCCTCTCCCGTATTCACTAGAGAAAGAGCAAACGAAAAAAATGCAACATTCCAAACATATTCACGCTTCATGGAGAATTCTAAAGACCTCGAGGTACTGCCATGTTCCGTGTGTGCGAGAGTCCCTGACAGAGAAGACGAGGAGCGGCGACGTAACGCCCGTAATGCATCGCCGAATCCGTCTGAAACACCCGCGGAAATAATTAAGCCGGAACTCAGTGCATTTAATTAAAGGAACCGGTTCGTCTTCCTGTCTTCTTCCCTTCCCTGCTCTAGCTCTCAGAGCCAGTTGCAGAAACATTCTCTTTTTTTTTTTTATCGAATTAATAAGCATTGATTCCGTAAATCTTACGAATTTCATAATTTATTTATCATGCCAAGGGAATCGATCGCTTATAAATATATTTTGTAAGTTGCACAGCATCCAAGATACTGTTTTACTCGTAGCAAACGGCTCGCGAGGCATCAATCAATTTGCAGCGTTACTGCAGATTTGTCGTAAAAGGCTGCTTTTTTAATCGCGTTTTGCTAATATCTGCATTTAAGATATCGCCATATTGCTTCCTCCGTTGTCTTAGGCTTATAGAAATGATAAATGCGGCCTGTCAAACTCGTCTGTCACGAGAAACGGAACATGGCATCGGGGTGAGAAACGAAGGTGCCAAAAAGAAACGTATCCCTTGCTACAAGCATTGTGTAGAAAATCGTCACACTCGTCACCATCCGTTGCCTCATGACAATAAGGATTTTATTGTTCTCTGTAAAATACTGTATATATATATATGTAAAATATAACGAAAGAGATTGTGTGTGTTTTGTAGTAGCGAGCTTGACATATAATGAATTTATTTAGGGTAATTAAAAGGCAATATTAATTAAAAAGATCATGTTACATTATAAAAACGCCGCATCCCTATCTTATCGAACTCGCGTCGCAACTCGAGCCACCATTTTTGGAGACGTTGCAATCGCGAAATTATTTTAAGTTCGAGTCGTTCATCATGATTCTGCCGATGATTGATCGATCTGTCAGGCTGTGCGAATCTGGTAGTCTGTCGTGTGTGGTGCATCTGCAGTGTATGTGGGTATACGTATGAGTAATAAGTCTTTATGACTCGCGAGTGCGAACCAGGACGAAGTAAAGGCAGCCAAGCAAGGTGTAAAGTATGTAAACCGATTGCATCTATACATGTATACATAGCTTCGTCGAGTATATAACGAATCGCGCAGTTGCATCGACAGAAAAACGATGCAGTAGCATCGCACACACAATATACATACACATACATACATACGCACAAAAACACATGCACTCACATATACACATAAAAACACATGCACACGTATACATACACTTGGTATGCGTATTACGTGCGCGCGCGCGTGAGGAGTGGTATACATATAAGTTTTTTGTTATTAAGTATCATTGAATTTATTGTAATGATATACTCTTAAGAGTAACGATCACGTAATTATTGCTAGAGAGAGTGTTATTTATTTTTATTTGTTGCGAATTTATCGATTGCCTTCCATTTGAGTAAAATAAATAAATATAAAGTTATTCGCTAAAGTGTTATTTCATTCTTTGCCTTCCCATCCTTCCATCTCGGATTGCAATTCTTGGAAATGTAGAAAATTCTTGGAATTTTAGATAGCGCGATCTCCCTCACTATATTCTCCTGACAGTGTTAATTTTGAAGAATTTTAATTCGAAAGGTTGAATTCTCGAAATTATGAGAGAGATTCTTGGAAATATTAGAAAATTCTTAAAATTTTTATAGTACATCTTTCTTGCGGATTCTTGCGATATTTTATAGATTTTAAAAAATTTAGATATTTGATATTAACATTTCGATATTATCATTCGATTTTTATCTGCTATATCTGTGCATTAAAAGAAACCTCAAAAAATTAATTAATTATATTTTGCAGTAACAGAAACTAATCCTATACTCAAAGAATATATACCTACATTGTAAATGTATAAAAGCTAAATGTTGTAAGAATTAATTCATATCTAGTGCGCCATAGTTACTCTCTCTACGTAGAATTATAATTTGGTTAGTAATTAAATATTTAAAATTTTCTAAAATATTTAAATATAATGATAGTATCTACTTACTAATTTCAAAGGATTTCTGAGAGGGCCCCTCCACCATTCTTACCAATTCTAATCGACGGTCTTCTTTTCTTTGGATTAGAGACTGAAATAAACACCGTTATCGTTACTTTTTTGTAGTAAATTATCAAATTATCGAATGAACGTAATATTTATCATGATACGTACATTTAATATTTAACAATAAATAGAATTTAGTGAAGTTATATCTTGAAGAATTTTGTTATAGAATTTTAAGTAATATGTATATTTTTATATTTACAACATGTTTAAATAATCCACGAATTATAATTTATATATACTTTTTAAAGCAATTTAGTATGGACTCGCACCATATCTATTTTCGACACCGTGATTTTATCGCCAATACGTAGCTACGTAGTTCCCAAATCGAAAATAGATGTACTGGCGCTAGAGTACGGGCAATTTCGACAATCCTAACCTTCCAAGTGTTTTGAAGTTGATATTTAATAGTTAGACCACGTATTTTGTTTTTTTAAATCATTGCATTTAATTCGGGGGTGCCTTGTTTTTATTAATATACATATATACAGAATTCGAGAATTATGTTATATATTGAAAGTGGAAGTCAAAGTGCCAAACATGGAATCTGCCTCACTACATACATGTTGTAGGTTAGAAGTACTAACTTTGTAATCGACAGTAATATTTAAAGTCAAACTTCTTTTATTTAATACGCGATAACTCAGTAACAAAAAAATCTTGGAAATATTTCTGAAAAGAATTTGATAGGAAAAACTTGAAACTCACGTTTGAAAATATCTACAAATCTTTCTTGAGCACTTGACAGGTCCATAAAGAAGAAAATTTTCCATTTGTTCAATTTGCTTTCCATATCGAAAATTATCAAACTTACAGAAACTCTAAAGATATAGTGACCTTCCGAAAATAAAGATTTTAAGTTTTAAAAAATTTCTTTTTTAAATTAATTTATTTTTAACAAAATTACAGCTACGTGAATTTTGTAATTTGTAGTGTTACAGCTTGTTCCAACACTATATATATATATATATACACACATAATATATTAATTTATATATATTTTTTTTAGATGAATTTCTGACAGCATCATTCAAACGTCTACAATTTATAATTGCGATAATGAAACGTAAAACCACAACTAATGAAATGACTGCAAAAAAACATCATTGGTCAGCTAATTTACTTAAATCAATAGAGGATCCTGAATGTAAAATCAGAGAAGATGATAAAATAGTTGTTATCAAAGATAAATATCCTAAAGCACAATTCCACTACTTGGTTTTACCAAAGGAGGATATTCTCAATATATGGCGGGTCAAGAAAGAGCATCAAGATTTGTTAACATATATGCATGATGTTGCATGTGATCTGATAAAAGACGAAACTGATTATGAATTCTTGTAAGTCTTAAAATAGAACAGTATTAATAGTATTAATAGTAATAATAATAATAATAAGTAGTAATTAATTCTATATATTACACATACAACAAAATAAGAATATCGTGTATACTGTCTCACACATATATAAAAGACAAATATATATATATATCTAGTATATAGAAAAAATGTAGCACAGAATTATTTTTATATATTTGAAATTATAAAGGAATATTAATTCTTGAGCAGCATGGGTTATCATGCGATGCCAAGCATGCAGAGGCTGCATCTACATGTAATAAGCACGGATTTTAATAGTCCTTGCCTTAAAACTAAATATCATTGGAACTCTTTTACGACGCCGTTCTTTTTACATTCGCAAGGTTTGTATCATATGTTTATTTATATTATAATCTACATATAAAAGCATATTGAATTTTAGATGTATGCCGTCAGTTGCGCATAGACGGCGAAATAAAAAAGATTCCTCAGCAGTTGTGTACAGATTATCTGAACACAAAATTGAAGTGTCACAAATGCTCGACGCAGCCGAAAAATATGCCAGATTTAAAAAGACATTTGTTAACACACATCGGTAAATGCAAGCCATGAAAAGCGTGCAATGTATAAATATGTAATTTAAAACTTCTATATAATGAAACAACGTATAAATTATCTTTAGAAAATAAATTATTTTTTTTGTATCTTTGCGACTTATTTATAAGCTTGCAACCTTGAAACAGTGTAACGCATAGCAAAAAACATGTATAATATTGCATATATATCTAAAATGACATTTTTATGTTGCATAGAAGAGAGATATATAAATTATGTTTCTTATAATCATAATGTATGTAATGTATCGCATTAAGAAGTTTTTTGGAATATGACAGGAAAGATTAACAAAGACATGTTTATGCGATAGTTCGGAAGATTTATTCGGAATAAATTTGATGTTATTCTTAATACATCTTGGCGCCTATAATATCAATTATATCCTAACTATTTACAAAGTCTTCTCGTAGGTTGCGCAAGTGTATATTGACAGTATTTGTGTGTGTGTGTGTTATGTGTAGAGTGTGTTACATTTAATCTGTATACATTTAGTAATACTGCAATCAATAGTTGAACGTTTCTGCTGCATCGAAACAGTAGGCATCTGAACATCCGCAAGACTTTGCTGTTATTGACTTGCGTTGTTTCGCAGATCGTAAACGATATCGTAACGGTGTAAGAATTTCGATTTAAGTATACGTCTCCTCTGAAAAACTTCTAACCTAATTAAATTAGTTATATCTCTTCTCTTAGTAAACGTAGCGCCTTGGCGTGTCCCCTTACGAAGTCACGTCCAAACCAATTATTTCGCTATGATATAGTTATAGTGAGGGGAAGGTCCGAAACGTACGGACCAAAGGGCGGCAGGAACAGTGCCGGACGAACGAGAGACGTCCGACAATGTTCCTTTTTCAGAAAATCGAAACGTGCCGTTGTACCCCTCAAAGAAAACGCGCGCGCGCGTTCCCATCTGAAAGTTTGCAATGCCTACACAAAATACAGAACCTGCAAAGTTTCCCCGCGATGAAAACGACGCGCGCGATCCGTTCTCCCTATCTCGTATATAGAAAAGAAGGAAAAGACTTCGACGAGATACGAGATCGACGATCGGACTTGTATAGTACGTACTGATTCTCTTTCTCTCTCCCCGGAAAAGAAGCACAACGTCGATGTGTGATATATTTACACAATGCACGGGAATATATTTGTTTCTATATCGAAAAATATATCTTTTTATGTATGACTTCACGCGAGATATATATATATATAAATATGTATATATATAAACCAAAATTCCATGACACACGTGCTTCGTTCACGGTAGACAGATTACGTTGCGAAATCGAGACGCGATTCACCTGAAGCGAAATTCTAAATTAAAAAAATAACATTCTCTCTCTCTCTCCCTCTCTTTCTTTCGCGATCGATTTTCTCACTAGAAAAAAGAAATTGGAGTCTGAGTCGAGACGTTGACGGTGGTTGCTCGCCCGCTTTTCGTTTCCCGTCCGCCCACACCGTACGCGACCCACCAAAAGCGGTCATTTTGAGCAAAGTCACTAGGCAGCGAGGACAATGCCGATCCATAAAGAATCACCATTTTTTCGAACATCGCACGACGCAACGCGCGCCAACCACCGACCGCTCCGATCATCCCCCGAATACCCTGTTTATGTCTGCGTCATGCGCGTGAGAGAGAAAGAGAGACAGAAAAACAAAGAGAGAAAAGTAAAGCTTTTTCGTCAGCGGAATCGCGAACGAGCCGTGCCAAGAATCAACGAGAATTAAACCTAAACGCGATTTTACCCTATAAACATTTATACAGTTTTTTTTCCCCCTAACTACAGACTATTTACATTATATAAATATTTTATATATATATACCGTACAATATATCTATATAAATATTTTCGTATGCTTAGTAATGTACAACTTTATATACACAATTGGACTACGGCTCGATCGCGATATCGTGGGTCGCATCTCGATTTCTTTTTCCTCCCTTATCAATGCGATAGTACGTATTTGCAATAAAGATATATATACCTAAAAACAGCTAAGTCTAACGACAATAGTTGACGTATAATATAGAATATATTTAATATATATATATGTACGCAGTAACGTAGCAACAACGCAGTGGTGATGGTAGTAATAGTAATAGTAGTAATAGCGCTATATTTTCTAATAATATATATAAATATATAGTCGCACGGAGTGGTGTAGCGAGATAGTTAACTAGTCTGTAATCTCTATATACGAACGTCACGGTCCTTGACGCGTGGTATTTAAAAAGAGAAAAAAAAACGAGAATAAATAATTCGAGGCAAGTAACGGTAGAAATAAATTAACGAAGCGCGAGACCATGTTTAATTAAATATCTAATTTATATATATGCGAGGAAAATGAATACTCGTAATACTCGTACGCGTCACCGGTCGCGGGTAATAATAATTTTCGTTCGAACACTACATAAATTATACCATAAATAATAATCGCGCTGATGACGATATAAAAACGAATCGGCGATACGCTCGAGAGCGAATTTTACTATAGCGCCTCTTAAAGCTATCGAAAACGTCTATATTAATCTAGAGTCCCTTTTCACGGGCATGTAAGTCTTTCGCGGGAGGGAAAACGAAATTTCTAGTTTCCTATGCCCCTTTTTTTTCTTCATCGCTACCACTTCGAACGAACATACGGAGGAAGGAAAGTGCGAATACCGATTTTTCCCTTTACTTCGATATTTCCCCAAGTCATCTGATCGCACACTCGAATCCGCGAGGGCCAGACGACGAGAAGCGTAATTAAACGAGCGAAAAACACCGTGGTAGGACAACGATAACTTTCCCTTTTATTCTACTTACGTATCTATTATGTTACAAAGTGCTTTTACGCGGCCTGCTCTTCGTAGAAACGCGTTTATGATATTTACAGAGAATATTTATGAGAAAAGGGAAATTCGAGAATACGAAATATGCGAAGAGAGGGGGGGATGATGATGATGAACAACGTAACGAAAAATACTGTCTGTACACTGCGAAGAGAGCAAAGATCGCCCGGAATGTCGCGAGATTCCGAGGATCCTTTACAGGCGACGTAAAACGGTTTCGTTAAAGCTGTGTAGTGTCTCGTTATCCTCCACGGCGTTTTTCGTTTTCTTTTTTTCCCATTTTTTGGCTAAATTGACGTCTAAGCTCGCGCAGCGACGTTACCGCGCGCGGCTTTTAATTTCACCTAAATACGCATCGTTTTATCCGCGTGTGTGTATGTGTGTGTCTGTGTGTGTGTGTGTGTATGGAATTGGACTATATTTAGGAATAAAGTACTACAATAGCATCGGGCGAAGCGTGTTTTGCGCGACCAAGGGCGCCTCCGGACGGGCGGATTCTTCATTCCTTTGTAGGACACGATTCGGTTTTTTGCTTTTCCCTTTTCTTTTTAATTTTATTCCTCGAAAGCCGATTCGCGTGAAAATTTCTGCTCGTGCATGGAATCCGGATTATGCATATCGCGAGAATTGTAAACATCGAAAACAGGTGCGTGAATTTTATTTTCCTTCTGCCCCTCGGGGCGACCTCGATCTCACGCGAGTTACGTCACACGGCAACAGGCGCTGCGAATTACACAGCCGAAGCCTTGGCTAAAAATTTCTCTAATCCTCCGTCTTTTCTTCGCGCATCGTGCGGTTTTCGCGCGTGGATGATGCGATTTTCTCTAAAGGGTCGTCAATAAATAGCGAACGTAAGTGATAATGAACACCGCGCGACGGTGATTCTCGATGACGGAGGTCGGAATTTTTGCTTAATGAATTTCTGCCTATAAACTGTACAGAGCGCGCACCATTCAGAATGCGCGCGATAAGTCTACTAGTCTACTTTTTACAATGGACTAATACGTGAACAATCGATTCGCCAGTTCTTCTCGTCGAGAACAGATCGACCTTGACGATAACCACTCGCGGACTTTACCACTTATTATGTGTTCTGTCTTTTGGATCTCTCCAGTTTTCATTTTAAGCGGTGGTCATCTCCTGCAGGCCGTAACAATGGACTCGCGTCTCCTCGATTGCTCTGCACCATTCCAGTGCAAATCCCTCGGGATCTTCGAGATAGTATGTCCTGTTTGGCTATAAACAATAGAGATAAAAGTTTAGATATATATTTGATGTGTATATACTTCAAATATCTTTCATTTTTATATATGGAAATTGAATAGAAACGGAGACATCCAAAGATAAGATTTTAATCTCCATCTATCCCTTTGTTAAAAAGATACAAAAGTATCGGATGCTCAATAATTTACTTTAACAATATTCTAAAACACTTACCGTATGGACGAAGAAGATCTTGAAATTCTTTGGCTCGACCCTCAGTTCTGGACTCCAGGGTATCTCACCCTTGAGAACATTATTGAAGGGATCGACGTAGTATAGGTGTGGTCCGGTGGTAAGGAGGAGCATTCTCCGTCTGGCGAACAGGCCCTTCCTCTTATTGACGAAGCCCTGTTTTAATATAAGATTGCCCTCGACGAAAGAGTGCCACTGATTCGTGGTGCGCTGCTTCTCTAGTCGCATCCTGATCTGTTCCGGTGTCAGATTGGCGATGTTAGCGCCACCGTCGGATCTGTTGTTAGTGCACCTCCTCAGTGGCTTGTTCACGCTTCCGATTATCTCGTTGAAGAACGCGTTAACAGCGCGTTGCTCTGCGCCAGTACTGTTGTCATCATCGGAGTCATCGGTATTCATCCAGAGAAGTCTGCCGAGTTGTTTATGGTCCAGACCGGGTTCGAGATTGTCAGGTATCCTGTATTGCGACCTCAACTCTCCTCGTTCCGACGTGCCGGGCAAATATGGATAAATAGGAGGCGGTGTCTGCTCGTGAAGGGTTTCGAAGTCGACGCCCTCGAAGAAGGGATGCGCCCGGATGCTGGGATAACCAGCGCCATGCTCGTCCAGAGCGCCCAATCGTTGCGTCGGTTCCAAAACGAGAAGCTGATTAACGAACGACCTGGCCAACTCGCAGAAACCGTCCGGGATATCATACTCGAGTTTCAGGATCTTCTGGAACATCACGTATTCGCTCCTCGAACGGAAAGGCGGCAGGCCAGCGACCATCTGGTAGACAAGACAGCCCAGGGCCCAGAGATCGGACGCTCTGCTCACGCTATTGTTGATCAGTAGCTCTGGTGACACATACTGAGCGGTACCGACGAAGGAGCCGCTGCGTTCCCTAAAACGCTGTTGCTGTTGAGCGTCCGCGTCCGCGGGCGTCTCTGGATCGTCCTTGAGGATCTTGGCGCAGCCAAAGTCGGTAATGAGCACGTGCATCTTATCATCCAGCAGGATGTTCTCCGGCTTGAGATCTCGGTGAATGATACCGAGCCCGTGCAAATACTCGAGACCGCGTAGGATCTCGGCCGAGTAGAACTTGGTGCATTCGATGTCGAAGGAGCCCACCTTGTTGATGTGAGGCAAGAGCTCGCCGTTCTTAGCGTACGACATGACAAAGTATAGTCTCTCCGCGTCCTGGAAGGTGCAGAACAGTCGCACGAACGAGTGCTTGGCGTCCGCGAGCATGTTCAGCACCTCCTTCTCGCGTTTCACGTACTCGGTCTTCTTCTGCTTGATTATATGACTCTTATCGCACACCTTAATCGCGTACTCCTTGCTGGTGTGGATATCCTTGGCAATGTAAACCTATCGGATTAAAAAATTACAGATTCATTATCTCTTTTCGTATCTCTTATTATAAAATATTTCAATTTACGTTCACATTAAGTTTCTTTTTATTAAATTCATGAAAATAACGAAAGGGAGGAGACTTACGGTGGAGAAGCTTCCTTCGCCGATCACTTTGCCGAAGATGAAATCCTTCGGGGTACGCTTGTGCGTCGGTGGGTTGGTGAGGGACGGGTTCGTGGTCGGTGGAACCCGAGGCGCCAGGGTGCTAGGAGACGCTACCACACCGTTGTTCACGTCGTTCGTCGGTGGAGACATTTTGGACACCGGCCCCTCCACCGTTACTGCCGGCTGTGGCGAAACGGTAAGCGCCTGGTTCGCCACACGCTGCAAGAAGAGACACGACTTATCAGACATACTGTCCGTGATCGTCTGACTATTCTACTACTTTCTTGCGCGATTCGATAACGAATCGTTAAATAAGATCTACAGCCTGTCGCTTCATGTAACTTTCTGCTGATGATAGTGTTATAAATTTGATAAAGTGTCAAGTCAGAAGTCACACGAGACCAAAAATAAACGTCGCTTCGCTTCTAATCGCGGTATTAATCTAAAATTGAGGTAGGTCCAAAATCCTTCGATCGTTTCGTAATTTAATTTTTAAAATGTAACTACAGAGTTCAAGACGTTAAGACGACCGTCGCCCTTCCGCTTGCAAAAATTTGTTCGCGAGGCACTCATTATCCTTTCCGCTCCGGAAGACGCGAGAGACATTCGCGCAGAGGAGGCGGCGGAGGAGGAGGCGCGAACCTCCCGTGTCCGGTACTTAACTCCTCTCATCCGCCAACGGTCGTCCGGTACCAGGAAATCACGTACCGGAAGTGTGACGTCATCGCGACCGACCACGGCACGTGGTCACGTCGTGCGGGTCAGAGGACGATGACGAAGAGAGAGAAAGAGACCTCGTTCACGCACATTCTTGTGCGCCACGCAGAAAAATGGAAACGCATTCACGTGGACATGAGCGGCCCACACGCGCTGGAAGATCAAGGCTATACGCGGCCAAAGTCCAAAGTTTACGGGGTTAATCACGCGCGCTTTCGTAAGTCGCACGCGTGTTCCGTTATTTACATAAATGTTTTGCGGAAGCACATCCTCTTTCGATATGCAAATATATATTTTTAAAAATATACATGTATATATATGAAGCTATATATATATGTGTGTGTGTGTGTGTGTGTGTGTGTGTGTGTGTGTGTGTGTGTGTGTGTGTGTGTGTGTGTGTGTATATATGGAGCAATATTATAGTCGCCAGTTGGACAAGTTGCTGTTTAACATCTGAATACGAAACGGCTTTAATTATGAGAATTCGAAGGATCAAGCGGGTTAGAAGACGAATTTGTATCCGTTAACAAGATCACGATGCAAGATCGAGGGAACAGGAACGACGACTCGAGCCGAGACCAGCAAGAAACGTTTTCCCCGGGCGGATTTCCCTCGTTACAACGGAAGAGATTATTGTTGGCTACCTCTCTATGAGACCTAGTGCGTAATTGCGACCCGTTTGCGAGCAGACGCTTTTTATAATGCACCAAACGACTGGGTGTGTTCTCTCACGCGCGCTCTGGTTCCTCCTATTCACATGACAGACGAAAAAAATCGCAAAGGGATCGGTACTGGAGCGTAAAAGGCATTATAGCGCGATACAGGTTGAGCAACAGATGTTCCATCTGGTACCTGCTCGGTAATCTTACCGGGGGGTTGAAGACGATTAAATACTACGTTTAGAAAGAAGTATGAAATTCAATGGTCGAAGGGTGAAGCCGAAAACCGGCCCCGACGAGAAAATGCCGACAGCTCGAGTATTTCCGCTCCGAGAGGAGAGGATGATCATGATCGCGGGAGTCCCTGCCAGATAAATGTCTCTCTTTCGTGCGGTCCTAATCGTCCCTCGTTTCCGGTTCGAAAGACGATCGAGCTCTTCTTTCCGTTGTCATTATCGTTGCGCTTCCGCTGAAAAACCGCTTTGTGTACGAAAGATCGCAACAGGTTTCCCACCTTTCGCGATCGACGAACACACGCGCGCGATCCTTTATCATATCCTCCTGCCTTTCAAGAGTCTTCATTGACGATTGAAGATATATTGAAGAAAATCTAACCTTCGCGCTTTGAAAACAAGATAGGCGAACACCGCCTCCTATTCACAGAAAAACATATAGTTTCAACTATAAAAATGACAACCATACAACTTTTATGTACAATTAATGTAGTATACATGTGATTTATTCAACTATGTATATATATATATATATATATACACATGAATTCTACATATAAAACTTGTAATTGTCACCTTTATAATAATTACTATCACTGTTTTTTTCTAAACGCAGAACTCTTGAATAAGAATTCTTTGATAAGATTCTTAAATTAATTTATATATAATCTGTTTCACAATGTCTGTTTAATAATATTTAAATTACATCTCAAAAATGAAATTTATTACATTAAAATTTCATTATTTAGTTGCACATGATTTCATAATGAAACTTGTTCGATTCAAAAGCTATCGGCTGTGCGACATGTTAATTAAGGAAAAAAAATCCCATCTCCCGGCTTTCATCGTTATTTTGCAAACATCTGTCGTACGATAAAGCATAAAGGTCCAAACATCAGACACAAACTCATCCATATATATCCTTGATTGTCATTAATCTCCGTGGATATCTTATCGCAACCAAATAATGATTGAATAATTATGTCTACTCTACTGGAAATCATGGCGTGATGGATGATGTAAAGCTGCGACTGGCGACAACATTATGCGTGGTTCGTTGAATTCAGCTTTACGATTATTTGCGACAGATGTTCGACAAGGAGAAACACTCCACGTGCGCGGAATCTTCTTAAGTCGCAACGACGAGATTCGATACGCAATAACAACAATCGCAGACGACTGAGTCGCATGCAGGGAGCGATATAACGAGGCGGGACGGCAATCGGATAATTAATTGTTCGCGAATGGAATTAATCTTGATGTACCGCGGATGTTTTCCCGACTCGGAGCAGAGGAATAATTTTGGCGAGAATTGCATTAAAACCGACGGTGATAAACGCGGGCCGTGCTCGAACGGGGACGGTTCTTTCGCCGTTTTATACACCGGATTTTCTTGCGGCTCCGTCGTAATTTCGAATCGCCGCGTCTCTCCGCCGAGGTAACGCCGCCAATAAAAATAAACCCCCGCCCCCGTAAAAACCTCCACAAAAATCGTAAAATCAGGGTAGACAGACGGGAGGGCGATCCGCGAAAAACACGAGCGAACGTTGTTTGTACGGCCGAATTAAGTTTTATCACTTCATCAGGCAGTCTCGGCTTTTACGATTTTCCGAGCCGCCGTAATGAAGCACTATTTGTTGGGAACGGAACGTCGACAACGAATACCATATTATTCCATTTATTTTATTTTATACATATACTCTCTAAAATATGAGGTAGATATGATGTACAAGAGGAAAAATTTGAAAAAAAAAAAAAAATAATAAATTACAAGAGATAAATACTGTTGTTTAATAAAATTGTGGAGGTAAATATAAAATATAAATATTTTATTTCTCAGAGAAAATTTTCGCTAAAACGAGATTATTTTTAATAGAAAATTCGTAAACAATTAAACAAAAATATATGCCAGAAAACGATAGCAGATAAATATAAAAAATATCTAAAAGTAGCTAAAAACAGAACTCTTACTGATCGAATTCAAACAAACGCGGCGCCAATCGTCTCTTAAAGATATTAATTGATTCCCGTGGCATCAATAACAGAGGGTATAAGAGAGAAATGTTCGGGGGAAGAACAAACCGCCGCGCGAGGAAGCGTTCGATTAGCGGCGGCGAGTGAAAAAACGAAATCTAATAAAAAATATCCGGTCGCGCGCGTGTTGTACAAGTTATAACGGTGTGAGAAAGGGGGAGAGTACGGAAAGGAGGGAGGAGGAGTAAAATGAGCGGACGATAAAAGCGGGCCGGCGGCGAAAAGCTGCAGGTACGGTAAATAGCGGCGAGATAGAAGCGATAAATACGCAACGCCCCAATTTCGTGCCACCCGTCCCGTCTCGTCGTCCATCGATCACACTTTTACCGAAAGAAGAAGGGATACGACGAGAGAGATCGACGGGCAGGGGGCACGATACACTCTGGGACACTCGCTGTACTCAATAGAGAATTAAGATCGATTCAACTTTTTATCCTTTTCTAATTCTTGAAACTAGAAAAAGATGAACAGTAAGTTGAATCGAGATTAAAGTTAATATATACTAGAAACGGGCCACAGGACCACCCTGTTAGTTCAAGATCTATATACTTCATATATACTTCACGATCATTCCGATCCTTCCTCTGCAATCTAGAAAGGGAGAACGAGTACCGAAGTAGGAGAATTGCCAGCTGACCCAGACCGATCACCGAGCCGGGGGGTATAACACGGCGATCTATCGTCTTCGCGGAGGGCGAAAACGCGTCGTTTGCTCCACAGCGGTGGGCCCTTTCCTTTCCTCTCTTTATCTACCTTTTCTCGTTCTTCTTCCCAGGCCGGTTACGAGACGGGCCCCACGGCGTCAACCATCCGTGTCAGGCCGTCGACCTCGTCGAAGAACGTTCGCCCGAGAATCACCGGTCCTACTCGAAGCTCTCTTTCTTACTCTCTCGCACGTCCGCCGCCTCGGACTCACCTTGCCCCGCTAGTTTATTTATTTGCTTATCTATTCCTCGCCCTGCCTCTGCCTTCCACGTACCGACGACGGAGGTATATAACCACCGACACCAGATACCGAACATTTCGCAAACGCGAGACGCCTCGATCCTCGGATATCGAGACGAGGTGGGGAATCTTGCAGAATTAATCGATACGTGGGCAAGTCCGTCGTTGAATGACCTGGGAAAGATTTGCTTAGATCGCAGATAACGAGATTCGCGCGGGGAAGAGCAGAGGAGGATTTCGCTGAAGTATTTGAAAAGCAATCGGTGATATTTGAATTTCGGTCGTGAGGTCCCCAAGAAGAGACGTGGCCCAGGGGTCGGCCTACGGTCCCACAAAAATTGGTGGCTGCTATTTATAGAATGAATTCGCGAGAAGACTGTTGAAGGATTTAGAACCTGGTATCTAAACGAGATACCACTGAGATTCTATATATGAAGAAATCTATAATTGAAGAAATTTAGCTCTTTATTAATTATAGGAATATTTCAGTGATATTAAAAATTGGAAAAATGTTACATTGAAATAATAATTTGGAGAATACGAGAAGAACCTGATCTCTAAAACAAGATAACATTGAGATTCTATAATTGTACAAATCTTTTTAATTATGAGAATACTTTTCGTGCTATTA